GGTTGTGGCCATCGGTAGGCCGCGCATTCTTGTTTAGGCTGGTCGGGGTTTGCTAGGTTCCAGACTAGAGCGGCCCGATGCCACGTTTCGACTTCGAGGATGTTCTTCATTAGATAAACATCCCCCACTTCTCTCGCAGAGCGATAGTCTTCTCCCGCCTCCGTCAGGAGCCACTGGGAGTCCTTCTCCATGTCTTCCATCATGATCTCATATAGGCCGTGCCATGGTAAAATGTTAAAGATTGTCGGCCAGGGGTGTAGGGGGTGTACTAGGAGGCTGCGGACTGCCGTCATCACCTCCGCCTCCAGGGCTGACATTGGGCAGCCGACTCGGCATCCTTGGCCTCCTTCCTCTCTCGGGCGATGCGGTCGAGCTCCTTGTTTCTCCTCCACCTGCCGATATCGGAGTCCTCGTCGCTGATTTCGGCCTGGTAGGAGTTCCAGGCCCTTCTTCTTGCCTCGAGATCGGTGCCGGCCCTTCAGGCGGTGCCTGAGTATCGTATGGTGGCAGCACGGATTCGATTGTCGACCTCGGCGGGGGTGGCGTCGGGCTCGAGGGGTAGGTCCCAGGAGGGCGTCCTCTTCAGCACGCCGGATGCGTGCGTCATGCGCTCTTCCTCGGTCCATTCGGGCCTCGATCTCTGGGGCGAGCTGGGCATCTCGAGGGAGTCCGAGGGACTCGACGTACGTGTGGTAGAGAAGGGGCCACGGATGCTGGGTAGAGGGGACGGGGTCGGCGAACGCTCTGGACGGGACCGACGGCTCCCAATTGGAGACTCCGGCGAGTCGCTCGGCGGCGGTAATTGCCCCAAGTTCTTCGGCGTCGTAATCTGGGAACTCGCTCCAAAGCTCCCTACTCGTCGGCTCGTGCGAGGTGACAGTGGGAGAGACCGCTGGGGTCTTGGACCCTTCAGAGACCTGGTCGGACTCTCTTCTGGGCGCGACTCCGGCCACAGTAACCTCTTCCCTCCTGTCGGCGTATACCCAGCTGGTTTGGGGGTGCCAGCCAACGGGCTCTCCCCTATTGGTCAGCCAGGACCTTGGAAGAGACTGTGAGAGAGCTGCACTGGTGGTAGCCACGGAGGCTCCGAGGCTAAGCTCTCCGGAATCGCTATCGTAGTCGTCTTCCTGGGCGACTCTGTACCTTCTGCTCTTGCTTCTCCAGACCACGTCTGTCCACCTTGTTCCTGACCTTCCACTGTAGCCGTCTCCGGTATAGGTCGCATCTTCCTCCGTGTTCGGGTAGAGGTCATCGAGGAGGTCGTCGAGTCTTGTCCTCTCCCAGTCGGAGAGCTCGTCGCCTTCGTACTCGGTGTCAGGGCTTTCTTCGCCCTCGTCCAGAGGCCTGGTGCCTTGTCTCCCGGCTCCGTCTGTGCTTGACTCGCCTTCAACTGGAGCGAGGTCGAAGAGGCCTGGTAGGGGCGAGTCTCCTTGGTCGAGGAGTACCCCCCGGGTATCGGTGATGTCGATAGAGTCTGCTGACTCTGCGGTAATGCTTCTGTAGGAGTCGGTGCTCGACTCGGAGAATCGCGAGCTGGGTCGCGACGATGTGTAAAGGGATCCTCCACGTCTCCCGGAGTCGCTGGATTCGACATCTCTTATCGTCTGCTGGGACGCCGCGGGAATGTGAATTATGGGAGGAGGATACGCCGGGGTACTGGGAACATAGTGGAACGGTAGTTGCGCGTGCACTCGCTGTTGTCGCTGAAAACAGCGGCGTAGATGGTACAAAGTAATGGACAAGAAAAAGAGTATAAAAGTCGCGAAGACGGTGGGAATGGCGTCGGACCAGGGCATCTGTGAGTGGATCTATCCTTGGCGTAAGTCGACGATTGACCATGCGAGTTGGTAGACCGCAAGGATGGTAAGAATGATGAGAATTGCAATAATCAAGCTGAGGTCGGTTTCATAGTTTGAACCGTTCATCAACAGAATTTCGCAATCTTCGGAGGTGCTCGTTATGATTATTAACAAAATTGTTAATAAAGAGGCGAGCTGAAGGGTGAGGATGAAGAGATTCGTGTTTTCAAACAAGGCGGGGGTATAATCCGTACAAAGTGGCTAGCAGGCCTGCTATCAGCACTGCAGAGATCCCGAGTCCAATAAGAACTAGGGTGAAGAGGACAGCCGTTAAGGCTGCGAGGATTGGGTCGTTGAGGAGGAAATCGGTGATCCAGGCGAGTACTAAAATCCGGAGCAGTAGGTCGAAGGGTACCACCCAAAGGACTACTGCGACGAGGAAGTGTATCGGCTGAATGTTGGAAACGTATAGGTTGGGCAGCGCGGTGCTGAGCAACGTGGAACGAGCTTCGGCTAAATGTTAGCCACTAACTCTATCGACTTAGATCGTGCTAGGATCGCTACTCGCACTTCGGTAGACAATACTCTAGCAGGCCAAAGGCGATGAAAGTCAATGGGACAAATAGTCACGAAGGACGGAGTTCGATATTAGGTAGATTAAACCTTAGCCGAAGCTGGGGTTTAGACCAGCTGAGGCTCTACTTAAATACACGTTGGTACACTAAAAATAGTACTGTGGGAGTCAGTCTGTGATGATCGCCTGCGCGTAATCTGGCTGAGTAAGGAAGGGAAAAGAAAAGAAAAAGAAAAAGAAAAAGAAAAGAATAAATCATAACAATGGATGCCATGATACGTGCCAAGAGAAAGACAAAAACCCAGCCAGCGATTACAAGCCCAACAGCAGAATTTGATCGCTATTTTAATTCAGCGCCTGTTGAAAAGGAACTGTGTCCAGACATCATAGCCTGGTGGGGAGTGAGTTGCGTTGATAACTGTTTTATTGCTCTGACTGATCTGCTTGCAGTTGCATCGATCTGACTGGCCAGTCATGTCAGCTATGGCTCATGATTATCTAGCAATTCCTGGGTCGTCAACGCCTTCGGAACGAGCTTTCTCAAGCGCTGCAAGAACAGATGCAAAGCTCTGGTGCCGCATGAAGCCAGAGAAGTTCGGCGGCCTCCAGAGGCTCAAAGGGGCATACAGGGATGGTCGCATGAGCGCTCAAAACGAGGTGTGGATGTCAATTGAGCCTGATTTTGGCCCTTTTGAGGACTCAGATGACGAGGATAAATACTTAGATACTAAAAAAGCCTTTATGGCCTCTCATCGTAGTTTAGAATAGCATAGGCTTAATTTTGTAAAAAACCTGGTTCGAACCTGGTTCGCACCTGAACCTGAACCTATGAACCCGGTGTGATGGGGTGCAGGTTCTGGTCCATCTTGGGTCTGCACCGAACCTGTTGGTGCAGGTTCAGGTTCAACCAAAATTGGCTGAACCTGAACCGCACCGAACCGCGGAAACACTAAGATTGATTGGGACCAGGAAGCTGAAGATGAGTGTATATGATCATGTACGTGATGGATGTCGGCCAATAATAGGGATGACTTCGCCAGGAGAATCCCCTGAGTGCATTCCACCCCACATGGTCATCAGCATCTGATCGACATCAGCAACAAAGTGAGAAGACGGATAGATAACAACTCACCAGTGCAACACCCTATCGCGTTTCCTGCTCCTCTCAACACTCCTCCATAGTGATCGCATCGGTGCCCAAGATTTTATGACTTCATGTTTTCGGGTGGGTAGCTGGTTGAAGGAGAGGGAACAGAGCATCACAACGGATATTACATTGACTGGTTGGGAAAGAAGAGAAAGCCCGTCAAAATTTGAAATTACCAAGAAGGGGCAAGGGCTGTCGGTGCTACGGACCGGTGATCCTAAGTAATGCTATGAAGCTTCTCGGAAAGCAGATTCTTGACCCAGCATATCCCTCATCCGTCAGTTCCACAGAGTCATATTTTTTTTATCACCCGTTACTTCAAGTGTGATTTGGCAGTACTATACAGTGCAGTCAAAAAGTACTAACATGCAGTCTAGCAATATTGTCTGAAGACGGATTCGAACCGCTAAGTCCTCGTTCCCACATTTAACAACTTGTCCAAACTGTCGACACATCTAAGGTCATAGTAGTTATCTTGGGATCACTAAGGGAATATCTGTCACGTAGTTGACGCTCTCTCTGTAAAATGGGTATGCACAAAAAAGATTGGGTAGTGTGCAGCCAGCGTTAGTGATTGCCTACAAACAGATTCGAACCTACCTATCCTGCATACACATCACCACTACTCGACGATGGCAGTGGTAATCTAACACAATAAAACCTCTGTGGTTCGATTTCGAGAGTTCCTTCATAGGAGATAAGCTTCGAATGGGCAGGATGATGTCCGGAATACCAGGCATGACTTTTATCACTTTCGTGTCGAGGTGAGTAGCTGGGCTGGTCCCAAAGCGTTAATTGCTGATATCTGTAATTTCAAATTTTGATGGGCTTTCTCTGCGCTGTCATGCTTTGGACGGTGCTGGTCATGCTGAACTGATTCTCACTGGTCTATATCAACAATACATGCTTCACTCTGCATGCCTCACATCGAACCTTCATTGAGCATGGAACAGTCGACATGGAATGTGAACGACAAAAGATTCGGAGACGGCTGGAGAGCGTTGATGGGATTCTAGCCAGGGTGGGTTGTTGCATATATGCCTTCTTTTTGTCCACCGATGTTGATTAGATGCCGATCCTCCCAATGCTGGCTATCATCTTGGTCTCTCCAACAACCCTTGGTCTTGATGATGCCATGACAGTCGTCCAAAGCCAATATAGCTTCCCGGTAACTCGAAACAGGATCATATCACCGAACGCATCGTGCCTCTTCTGCAGGTCCTTGCCATTCCATGAACAAATTCTCCTTCGTACCCATCCCATTACCGTGCATGGTTGTGGTGAGGACTTCATCTCTTCTTTCCAGGATGGCAATCCTGTCCTAACTGCTAATCACAGTCAATCACCGATCTATGCTCAGCTGTCATATGCCACCTGCCATGTTCGTTTTGCTCTCAGAAATCTTGGGTGCAGGTTCACGGCTTGAAAGTCAATAGCTCAGAGGGCACTCACCTTTTTGTCTTCGAAAGGCTCCATACTCATGGCTGTTGTCAGGTTTGTGATTGCTGGATCAGCAGAATAACAAAGTTCCATTATGAGCATTCTCCTTCCTTTCTTAAGTTTCTTGGCTGTAATAGAGCTCTGCTCGGTTCATAGGAATGACGGCTTTGCAGCAGAGGATAACATTCCCATTTTCAAGTTCAAGTACACCTTTGGAGGACTGGCGAGGACTCTCCTCGTGCGGTTTACTCTCAGTGAGTTATTGTCTCTTGTATTGTCACCTTATCATATATTGGACAGCTTTTGTTCTAGAATATGCAGCCACATTTCTCTGTTGCTCGGTAACCTCAAGTCCAATGGTAAGAAAAACACTTTTTTTTCTCCGAGTGGAGTTTCCTCAGCTTCGATTAGGACGAAGAACGTTCGACTTCATGTGGTGCCCTCTGAGAGTATCGATTCAGAAATCGAATCCCGCTGGGTATACCTTCATTTGTGCGGCATCAAGCGAAGATCATATGGATGAAAATTCTTCTTGGTAAGTCCTAAGCCTACTCCTCCATCCCTTCTTTCTCATGCTAAGTAACTGCATAAAAGCTTCATATCCAACTACTCCTTCGGCGATGCAGAAACACCTCTGTCAAGTTCTTTTTCTCATATCCGTTTCCTATAAGGACGTTCGCTCCCCTTGGGCGTTTGTGAGATCTGACTACAACTTGTTCCCATTTCACGAGAGATTCTCCGTTCTTCCATTGTATACTAACGATTCGTCAATGGCATGCTGATAGTCAGCAGATTGGGGTGCAGTCACGTCAGTGTTTGCACCTCGTAATATTAACCTCCTTGATCATCGATGCCTGACGTGACCAGTGCAATCTTCCTTCGAGGTGAGACATATGTCATGTCATCTTCTCCATTCTCCTTGCAGCCTTCTAGGGTAGCCTAGATGATAGTTTATATCTCTCTTGAAATGACTCCTTTAGCAGACAGATAACTGAAGCTTGTTGTACCAATTATACACTAAGTAGCTGCAGTAGATCAGTGGGAGATTGGCCCTGTCTGATGGGGTGCTTAAAAAAGGTACTTCTCGGATGGTCATGGTTCGATTCCACATGGTAGCTGTCCATGGACATTTGCATTGTTTTTGGCTTTGATAAAAGAAAAGAAATCCATGGAAGGTGTAACTAGGCCAAAGATTGTGGTATATCACTGATCTTTTTCAGTCTGATATCGTTGAGAAGCGGAAAGTCAAACATAGTCTGGGAAAGAATAGCAGTGCCCGCAATCTATGTCCTGCTTCTGACATGGAGCCGCGTGACTTGTGTTAGCCACTAACTCTAATCGACTTAGATCGTGTTAGGATCGCTACTCGCACTTCGGTAGACGATACACCAACAAGTCAAAGGCGACGCAAGTCGATGGGGCACTTAGACAGAAGAACGGAGTTTCGATGTTAGGTAGAATAAACCTTAGCCGAAGCTGGGGTTTAGACCAGCTGAGGCTCTACTTAAATACACGTTGCGTAGACTAAAAATAGTATCGTGAGAATGTCCGATCAGGACCGCAGCATGAAGTCCGCAGCATGGAGTAAGCATGAATGCGTAAGAGAAGAGAAAGAGTAAGCATGAATGAGTAATGAAAAGAAAAAAAAGAATAAACCGTAACATTACCCCCTCTCTAAGACTCATTCGTCCCGAATGAGTCCTCGCTCCCCTCCCCGCTTTCCGCAGATTGACTATAAAAGGAGAGGATGGTGTCATCATCGTTGTCATCATCTTCTGAGTCGAACTCCCAGTTTTCGTAGATGCGTTGTAGGTTTTCGAGGTTTAACTCGGAGTCCTCGTCGTCCGATGTTTCTTCCACTACTGGGATCCCATCTGCTTCTTCTGTAGTCACTTCCCGCATCGCTATTGACGATTGTAAATCGGAATGTTTTGGGTTGGTGCATTCGGAGGAGCAAACGGTTTCGATATCCGTGACGCATGGGGTATCCGGGTCATGGTAAGCCGTTCCAGCACCCGGTGGTATCTTGTCGTCTCTCCCCACCGTCCGTCCATGCTTGTTGACCTCCCAATAAATCCGTTGGAGGCGTGCCTCGTACTCGTTTACTAGCTCCTCCGCGTTGGCCATGTCCGAACGTTTGACCCAAGAGTTCTCCTCTCTTGGGTAGCCTTTCCATTTCACTAGGTATTCTGTTATGGTGCGACGTGTTCGTCCGCGACCAATAACCTTGTCTCGTTGTTCCACGATTTCCTCAATCTCGTATTCTTCTTCGTCGTCGATTAGCTCTGGAGGTGGTCGTTCAGGGCGCGGTTGATTTGGGAAGGCAGGGGTCACGTAAGGTGTTAGGAGCGACTCGTTGAAGCGATTATGAATTTTCCATTTAATCGGTAGCTTCAACTCGTAAGCGGACGCCCCCTTTTTTGCAATGATGGTGAAAGGCCCAACTCGACGATCTCCGAGTTTCTTGGTCGGCCTAGGTAAGTGGAGGTTGGTTGCATCGAGCCATACCTTGTCCCCCACCTGGTATTCCACCGCGGCGCCCTTTCTTTTGTCATATGCCTTTTTCATGGACTCTGCCGCCCGTTCCAACGATCTCTTGGTTTCCCCTTGTGCTTTCGCGATCTCCTCTACTAGTTTCTCTGCTGCTGGAACGGCTGCGGTCCGTGTGGGCTTTTTAATGACCTCTCCGTCCCTTCCAAAGAGGACTCGGTAGGGGGAGTACCCCGTCGCAGAGTGTTGGCGATTATTGTGAGTAAAGGCGGCGAGCGGTAACCACTCGCTCCAGTCGTCTTGTCTGTCGTTGACGAACATTTTGAGATATTTTTCAATTTCCTGGTTAACCCTCTCCGTTTGGCCGTCGGTCTGTGGGTGATACGCCGTGGAAGGGTTCCCTTCGACATGGAGTAATCGGTAGAATTCCTTCATGAACTTTGATACAAAGACTGAGCCCCGATCCGAGATTACCTTCTCGGGCATTACCCCATAAGGTACATAGACGTAGTCTCTCAAGATCTTAGCGAACCCGAGCGAGGTAAGTTCTTCTGTACACGCTATGGGGATAATGGCTTTGGAAAAGCGATCCACGATGACGAGGATAGAGTCAAATCCCTTGGAGTTTGGGAGTTTAGTGATCATGTCGACCGAGATGTGCGTCCATGGTCGTACCGGCACCTCGTTTGGGTGGAGAGGAGCCTTCTTTGGACGTCGGTCTGCCTTTGTTCGTTGGCAGACCTCGCAACCTTTTACATACTCTTCCACATCTCGTCGCATCCTTGGCCACCAGTAATCTCGGAGTATCAGCTCCTTGGTTTTTTCGATGCCTGGATGTCCAGCCGTGACATGGTCGTGTTTGAGGGCTATGATCCGTCCTCGAAGGTCGCGATCTACTGGTACATAGATCCGCCCGTCGTACCATAATAGGTCTTGATCGCGGGATACGCCCTTTTCGTGGTTTAGGGAGTCAGAGATCCCCCTGTCCCAACGACGAGGGTCGTGAGTCGCTACTTTAATGCGTTCATGTAGCTCCTCAGCCGTGGGCATGATCAGGGCCCAGAAGTGCTCCGCTTTGAGTACTACTACGTCTCGGTTGTCTCCTTTTCCTTGATCGTGATCCGCCCTCCTAGATAAAAGGTCCGCCTTTCGGTTTTGAGCCCCGGGCTTGTGGTGTAGCGTAAACTGGTACTCCGCCAGCTCGGTGACCCATCGAGCTTGTCGTCGATTGAGCTTCTGAGGCTTGCGGAAGTATTGCAGGTTGGAGTGGTCCGTCCAAATCTCGAAATCCTCCCTAGCCCCCATGAGGTACTGGCGCCACTCCTCGAGGGCGATCATGATTGCTAAGAGTTCTTTGTCGTAGATCTCGTAGTTGCGTTCAGTAACAGAGAGAGCCTTGGAAAGAAAAGCGACAGGTCGCCACTTCTCATCTTGCCATTGAGAAAGCACGGCTCCTATCGCCCCCTCGCTCGAATCTGCCTCTACCCGGAATCGTCCTTGGTCGAGGGGAATGGCTAATACTACATCTTCACGAAATAGCTCCTTGAGCTTCTCGAATGCCTTTTGTTGGGCTTCCCCCCACCTCCACTCTTGCTTCCCGGTGAGCATCGTCAAGGGTTTCACATGCTTGCTGTAGTTGCGAATGAATCGTCGGTAAAAGTTGCAGAACCCGAGGAATGACTGGAGTTCTTGTTTCCTCCGAGGAACGGGCCAGTCTAGGAGGCCCGCAATTTTAACGGGGTCCATACGAATTTTTCCTTCGCCAATAATGACTCCGAGGTACTCGGTTTCTTCTACTTCGAACTCGCACTTTTCCGCCTTGAGGAACAAGTGGTTCTGTCGTAGAATATGGAGGACTCTTCGTACGATCCTTCGGTGTTCCGTTTTGGTCTTGGAGGCAATTAGAATGTCATCCAAGTACACCGACACCTCTCCGGCGGTTATAAGGTCCTTGAAGATGTCGTTCATCATCCATTGAAACGTGGCGGGGGAGTTGGTAAGCCCAAAGAACATCACTAGTGGCTCATAGAGGCCTCGATTCGTACGGAAGGCCGCCTTCCACTCATCCCCCTGCTTGATGCGTACATTATTGTATCCCCATCGTATGTCCAACTTCGTGAAGTACTTGGCGCCTTTTAACCGGTCCATGAGTTCCCCGATCAAGGGCAACGGATAACGGTTTTTAATCGTCATCTCGTTGAGCTTTCGGTAGTCCTGGACTGGCCGCAGTTTACCGTCTTTTTTCTTTACAAAGAAAAATGGTGACGCCATGGGCGATTTCGAGGGTTGGATTCGACCGGTGGACAGGTTCTCGTCTAGGAACTTGTCCAACTCCTCCTGCTCTGCCTGGTTGAGCGGATATACCTTGCAATCCAGGTTGGCATTAGCGTTGGGAATCAGCTCAATGGCGTGATCCCAGGGCTTTCGCAGGGGGAGCTCGTCAAAGTTTTCTTTGTCGAAGATATCTTTGAATTCCCGATATTCCTCAGGCACTACCTCCTCGAAGGATTTAGCGATTTTCTTGGCGTTGGCCTGAGCCGCTAGCTCGTTAGCCCTCGTTCCCATGGCTCTAATATGGAATGCTTCTTCAAAATCGATGACTAAGATTGTGTCTCCTTCTTCATACTCGTCCCATCGCGCGGAAGGGTCGGTGTCGGGCAGAGAAAAGGGAATTTTCCTGCACGTGCACCGGGCCAGGGTAACTGCTCCGGTGTCCCAATCAATGAGCGGGTTGTGACGCTGTAACCAGTCATGCCCCAGGAACAAGGGAGTGGAGCCTAGATCGACTACGGCTAGTTCGATCCATTCCACGTGATCTCCTATCCGCAGTCGTACTTCGGCATACTCGGTGATGTCCCCTCCTTTGTTACGCGTGCCGTCGGCATTGTAAACCGGGACTGGTCGGGCCGCCTTCTTTAGGTTAAGGCTATGTTTATGGGCCCAGTCACGGTCAATCGAGCTGCCCGTAGCGCCGCTGTCTACTAGGGCGCTTACGGCGTGAACTTCTCTGGTGTCCAACGTTTCTAACTGCACTTTTATTGAAACGTTTCGCCCCTTCCTTCCTTGTATATACATGGGCGGTTTCTGCAGGTCCTCCATCCACTGCCACCTCTCCCTAGCCTGAGCGGCGGTCTCAGTCTGTTCCTCCAGCTGGCGGCACAGTCGGTCGGTAACTTCTTCTCGGCGACGAGGGTGTATCCACCCGTTAAGAACGGCCCTTGCCGCGGCATTTCCCCGGGCGATGCGTATCGCACGACGGGTCCAAAGGATTCCATGTGGCTCGTAGTACATATCCGGGATAACCTTTTTGTCGAGGGGGATTGCGGTGAGTGAGACGGCGGGAGAAGACGTCCGTTTCGGGGTCACGACCGGGATGTCGGACCGTAGATAAGCTTCTTCGTCTTCTACTTCTTCCAATAGGACCGAGGGGTTCTTCCCTCGAAGTGGCATTTG